TAGTAATCACAATGTTGCTCATGTAATTGTATATTAATGATACCAAAATAAAATTAAAAATTAAAAAATTAAATTAAAAAACAAACAGTGTGGTTACTACATTCACCCATATTATCAAGTCCCCCCATACCCTATTGCAGTCACTGTCCATCAGCGCAGTAAGATACCACAGAGTCACTACTTGTCTTCTCTGTGCTACACTGTCTCTTCCCTGTGACCCCCCACACCATGTGTACTAATCATAATACCCCTCAATCCCCTTCTACCTCCCCCACCCCTCCTCTTTGGTAACCATGAGTCCCTTTCTTGGAGTCTTTGAGTCTGCTGCTGTTTTGTTCCTTCAGTTTTGCTTTGTTGTTATACTCCACAAATCATTTGGTGCTTCCAGAGAGTAGATCTTAAGAGTTCTCATCACAAAAAGAAAAAGTTTATAACTGTGGTGATAGATGTTAACTAAGCATTGTGATTGTTATGCAGTATGAAAGTGTATCAGATCAATATGTTGTACAACTATAATACAGTGTTACATGTCAATTATATATTACATCAGACTTACGTAGCATCTTGAGGTGTTCCGTGCCTGTCTACTTGTCTCCTTCCGTCAGACTAAGCTGTGTGAGGACAAGGACATGCCCCTCCACTATGCTCATGTAGCATAGTTCATGTCACTGTGATCAAAGTGAATTGAGTAAGGATGAGAATTTCTAACAAATGATATCCTGGGCCCAGAGAACCATCATCAGGATGAAGTGACCCTAGGATTAATTTTGGACTTTGAAAACTACTTAAAAATACAAACTAAATAAATTAAATTTTTAAAAAACAGTTGGCCTGGATAGAGAACTACATGAAGTAGAGATGTGCATTTTTCAGAAATTTAGCAAGTTGTCACCAACTACATCTTGTTCCCTGTTTCTTACAAGTCAGCAACCCTGATATGCACAGTTGGGCAGGGAGAGAAGTGAAAGTGCTTGTAAGATACCAGCGTGATGGCTTCATGAGTGCCAAACACCACTCTTCTCAGACGGTAGTTTGACACATAAGCCAAATACTTTCCTACTTCTTGTAGAAAAAGCTGCAGGTCTATATTCACTGGAGGTTTTAGCCGAGCAGAGTATGTGTTGGAAACCTTACACACAGGCCTCCTTTGTTGTATTCCCAATGCTAGAAATTCAGGTGCGTGGACGTCCTGTTTGACTTTTGCTAAAATCTCTAACTTTACTTCTCTCCAAAAAACCTATGTCCCCAGTGAACTGAAATTAGGAAAACAGTGTGTGGTGGTGGGAGCACCAGGCAATCAGAGAGACTTCTGGGTACTTGTTTTAGGGTAGAATCTATCTGTGAGGCTGTTAACACTGAGTTTACCATCTTAATGATTCCATGTGGCTCCTAGCAATTCTCAATGTCGGTTTGGTTGGTCCTTTCCGGAATGTTTAGGTCTTTGGGTGGGATGTCTTCTGTGTCTACTAGAATTTTTTCTGTGCATTACAAAATCACATTTGAGAGGTAAAGAAAAATGTCCCTTATTCTACTGTAACAATACAACCATAGTAATCATTTTTATATAGTTGTGTTACATCATTTTCAGATTTTGTAAATCCACTGAGCTTGCTCAAGCCCTTTCCCCTGTCCCACATTCATCTTCCCTCTCACAGAGTGAGCATGAGAGGTGGGGTGTGACTTGATAATGGCTTCATAGGCCCCTGTTTGCAAGTTTCTCTGAGCGTGAGCATTCACATGCTGGCTCTCATTGTGTTATTCAAAGAGATGAATTGTAGTTGTCATCCATGATGGCGCTTAAACGCACACCCACCCCTTCATCTGGGTCAGCCTAAAGAACAGCCACCTGGTGGAAAGCCAGAGGCAGGAATGGCAGTGCGAGGCTTCCTGTACTGAGAGGCGGTGTGTCTTTTGCCTTGGGTTGGCGTGGCCGAGTGTGGTCGTGACAGTGCATGGATCGCACCTCATCTGCTGAGTTTAGTCTTTAACCTCTGAGTTAGATGCAGCTTTGTGGTATTTAATTCCAGTCCTTTCTCTGTGCACATTTCATGTAATTGTTCTCATTTTTAAAGCTTTCAAAATATCCTTTAATATACTCTGTCAAGAAGCTTGCTGTACTGTCATTTTTATAGCCATCAACTCTGACAAGACTTCTGAGTTCCTGTCTTTGGGAGGCATTTCAGCAGCCAGGCCAGGCGGGCCCTGGGCAGAAACGCTTCCTCACTGCCCGCCGGGGCCTGCCCACCGTGGCTCTGCCGCGACTGTCTGAGATCCCACCGCTGCGGATCTCAGCGTCTTACCTGTAGCTGTGGTCCCGTCTGCACTCAGCCACTTGGGCCCTTTCTGTCACGGGGCTCTGTGGAGCTTGGAGTCCCAGTGACTTGTACCAGTCTGGGATCTTCTGAAAGGGGAAGAGGCTCCACAGTGTAGTGCATCTGCACCTGGACTGCCCGGGTTTGCAGCCTAGATTGAGACTTAACCATTGAGGTGATTTTGAGCAAATTGCTTATTCTTTCTTTGCCTGCTTCCCCATGAGTAAAATGAAGTGAATAATATTTACCTCTAGGGAAGTCTTATGAGAATTAAATCAGTCTGTGTAACGTGTTTAGAATACAGCCTTGCACCAACAAGTTGTGTAAATATTAATTAGTATCATCATCCATTTTGTTAATTGCTGAAACTTCTTGAAGTACAACCATGAGTCTTGGAGACATAAAATGCCTGGGATAGAGATTAGGTACTTCTTTAATTTAAAATTTTTTTTAAGTTTTACATATTATAATTAATCCTTGAGTTTCTGAAAGTTATTATTTAATAGCTAAAGTTTCAGGCAGAAGAAACTGAATGTTATGAATTCAGTACTACATCTGGAGCACATTGTCAGCTTGCAGTATTTCGGAGCCGGTGTACAGAGATGCTGTCTGGTGCTCAGAGTGTCTCCTTTGGACTGTGTCTTTTTCTCCCCAGTGACCTTGGTAACAAAGTCAGTTTGTCTTTCAGCAAAGAAGGAATGTTGTCATGAGTTTTCTCTCCCTCTACGTGCGCTCCTCTGGGCCGCAATAGTTACATAGGTACAGAAAAGAACCTCAGGGCTTTGCCCATTTGGTGTCCATTCCCTATGGTTTTCATTTTGGCAGCTGCAGAGAGGGCTGCCTTCCACACACCTGGCCACTCCTTTGACGTGTTCTGTAGAGGACACAGCATGCTAAGAGCATACCTGCTTGTGCCATGGCTGCCCTTCCCGATGGGGCACATGCATCTGAGTGTGTGCAGACGTCATGTGGTGATAAAAGTTGCTTCTGCCCTTCTCCAGTCTTCGCCAAGAGCATCCAGAGTCCCTATGCCATGCAGAACGTTTCACATAGGAGATTTTGGCTGAGTTTGAGCAAGAAAATCCACTTGAAGGGAATTAAGTAACAAAACACTTTCCATTGCTAATAGGGCATACACAGTGTTTCTCTAAAGCAGTTTCATTTCTCCAAAAAGTTACTAATCAGGGGACTGATTTTGTGATAAATTTAAACAGAGGTTTTAATCTGTGTTGGTCAAAGATGTGAAATCAGATAGAAAATCTGTGTCTCAGCCTGAGGTGGTGCTGCGATTTCTCATAGCTTTCTGTCTTTCTTCCTGCTCATTTCCTAAAATTCAAATCAAGAATAATCAGCCTGTATACCATTACATGTAATATTTCATAACGAACTTGAAGCACTTAACAAACCTAAAGTCACAGCCTTACTACTATCATCATAAAATACTTTCGGCCTTCATCCCATGTGACTAGGAATCCAACTCAACTCACCCAGTTCAGATTGTTTTTAAGTTACATTTCTACTACCCTGGTGGTGGTGTTTTTGGCTTAGGTTTGGCCTTTGGTCCCTTGAGTTAATGATACCAGTTTCCTGTTATATATAGTTTGTGCTCAAGATTGTCCTAGGTTTCGGTGGTGTTTCTCTTTCTCTCAGTCTTGCTCCTCATGTGAACAAGTCACATCTTTTTCTTGCTATTCCATTTGCACAGTGTCGCTCGTAAAGATGAGCTTTATCCTGCAGGGCAGTGGAGGAAGCCTGGAAACCACCTGTGGAGCATTGCGTGGACAGGTGTAGTTTTGTGGTCGTGTGGTGTCAGCATCAGGGAAGTTACAGGATGGCTTGTGTTAGGGCTCAGCAGCCTGTAAATCCCATGACTTCCAAGCCTCATGGGTTATGAGCGCTCAGGAGAAAGGTGAAGGGTGCCCTGTAACTCTAATGCTATGCGTGCAGTTCTTGAACGTGTACCGATGGCTACCGACTGCTGTCTGTCCCAGAGCCTGCCCCACTGCCGGCCTCTGTGCAGACCACCGGTTTGAACCCAGCCTTTTGCACTTATTAATGCTTTTATACCTTCTTCTTGTCATAAAGATTTTAACTGGTTTATGACCTGAGTTGAAACAAGACAAAAAAAAAGGAGGCCTGAAGTGGTCTGTCCCCTGGCAACCAGAAACCTCTGGTGGTGTCCAGACAGAATAGTTGCCTCAGTTTGTCAGCACTCCTATCTCTGAAGGTGGTTTCTGCTTGAAAAGTGGTGACTGCTAACATAGCTCTGGGCAGTTGCTTCTCCTTCCTCTGTCGGGATGCATTCCCCCCCCTCCCCCAGATAACCTTCCTGTTCTTGTTGACTTTCTTTTTCCAGTTTGTGGTTAAACTGTTTCAGGTCCCCACTTGAACCCTCTGTGGGACTACCCGATTCTGGGCACCCTCACCAGATCATCAGTGTTAAAGAGGGGAAAGGGTCTCATTTAAGAAAAACGCCCTTTTGGAATGACTCTCAAAGTCCAGAAACATCCAGACTTTCCTTCAGGACATGTTTCCATTTGGGGTAGCAGCTTTGCCTAGTAGAGGGGAGGGAGGAACTTGTTGGGAGGGCTTGTGTTTAAGGGGTTCAGAAACAGGGGATATAAGTGTGTCTTTTGTGTTTGCAAGGCACTAACACCACTCCCGTCTGTATTTAAATGCTGTCCCCAGGTTGCGACTATGGCTATGTCTGCGTGGAGTTTTCACTCTTGGAAGATGCCATCGGATGCATGGAGGCCAACCAGGTTGCTTTATACTTCGGTCAAATGATGCTGGAAGGATCTATTTTTTTATGTATGGGGTCGGAGGGTTTCAAATGATTCACCTCTGGAGAGGTACTGGAAGTCTCTATTTGGAGCACACCATGTTCCAGCCACAGAGCAGCTGTGAGGAGAAGCTTTGGAAGAGGCTGGGGAGGAGTCTCTAGAAGAGCTAGTGGCAGACACGAGAGTGTGCTTTACAAACTAGGGCCAATTGCAGTCGGACTGGATCCCCGAGATGGTAGATGGAGCACAGGGACAGGGCCTGAGTGCTGCCCTTTGGAGTGTGACCGGGATGGGGGTCCTGGTGCACAGGGCGACCCTTGGCTGGCTGGGGCCTCACGGAGCTATGGCCCAGACCACCGACGGCGGCCACCGCGGCGCTCAGGTCCTGCCTGCACGTGCTGCTTCCACGGGGCCACTGGGAAGAGGAGGGGGGATGGATTGTTCCAAGCCTGTTGTGTTCACCATGGTTCTTTGCAAAGTGGTTTTGTACTCAAGTTCTTGGCTGCCTCTAGTCAGAGCTGGTGAATCTGAATCTGTTCTTACCTAGATTTTTGAGACTTGAGATGGGTTCAGCTGGCTACTGGAGCTGTCATATGGGTCTTCAGCTGAGTCCTGCCTGGTAGTTTGAGGAAAAATTATGAAATGGAGAGGATCCTTCTTGTCATGACGTCTCTCTGGGGAAGGTTGTTTTCTTTGTGCTGCGTTAGTTAGTTCCTCTGTCTGAAAAGTGGGAGAAAGAAGCTTGGTGATGTGGTCTGAGTCGTGTGCACCCACTGCCTCTGTGTAACAGCGTGGCTGCAGTGTGCCCGGAATCTTACAGGGAAGCTCCGCCCAAGAAGAGGAGCACTGCGCAGGAACCCTTCCTCCTGCAGCCTTGTGTCCTCTCCTCAGCTGCCGTGCGTCCTGCAGGCTCGCTGCACTTGGTTTCTCCTCCTCACTGGCCCCGTCCCCCGTGTGGGCATGGAGGCCATGGGCTGCAGCCCCCTGGGAGCCGAGCGGCACTAGCGAGAGGAAGCATGCTGTGTTCATGACTTGTCAGCAGCATGAGCACTGGCGGGCCCTTGGAGAGGGACTGGATTAGGACTGTGGCCCCTTGGTAGCTCCTGTTGACTGACTGTTCAGGGTCTGTCGTGGAGTCAGTCACCCAACAGATACTGTGTGTCACAAGCTGTGTCACTTCCAATATCTGAAGAGAAGAACAAAGATCCCAGTCTGTGTGCTATGGTTGATTCCATTCTGACAGTCTGTCCTAATTTGAGAACACCCAGCTGACTCACAAGCATCTTGTTCTTGTCAGGGAGCAGCCCATTCAGTCCTCTGCCTCTGTGCTAAGTAGTACTGTGAGTAGTAGTGCCAGGGGGGCCGCGGCCGATCCCATCTTTTGCACCCTTCTCCCAACTGTGTGTTTCTCCTAGAGGAGTGTTGCTTTTTATCAGAGCTATTTAATCTTTGATCTTAACAATAGCAATACTGTATCTTCATTGCCTCTCTCCTCTGTCCCAACAAAAACTTCTGTCTAAAGTACCCAGCCCCGTAAAGAGTAGTGCCAAATAGAACTAGGGCGGCCTTCTTTAAAAACAAGGTTTAGGCAGGCTTCCTATTAGAGCCACATCTGGAAAAATGTTCCTGTACACAGGCAATCTCTCTGCCTTTCCCAGCCTGCATTCTGCGAACACTTAGGGCTCCTAGATCTGACTTGTGCCCAGCAGATGAGACTCCAGAACAAAGCAGGAGCAGGGCCAGAATTCTTCCAGGTGTGTGACAAGGTCTGACAGGCAGTCATCCTCATGCATGGGGGACCATATGCTGCACTGTCAGAAGCACAGGAGATAGCCTCTGTCCTCCACCTGGGACCTCATAATCTCAGACAGGAGGACAGCAGAGATTATGTGGTACTCAGGGGTCCTGCAGGGTGTTCTCTCAGACAGGTTTTTGTCTGGTCTCGTTTTCAGTATTCCCTGGAGTCATTCCTCAGTGAGACATCACCATATCCTCGTTTCCAGACTTCTATTCTTCCCATCATTGTGGAGCAGAGGGCATCCTGCTAGCGCCGCCACACAGCGGAGTCTCTCTTGCTGAACTGTGTAGACTTCGTTATCCACTCAGCTTTCTTTTAATAACCTTAACTGTAGCTCAGGGTGTGTGCAGATCATTTTACTGGACGTGGGTTTGAGCATGGGCTCCTGGGAGCTTTGGTACTTAGGTCACCCAGTGTGGAAGAATGTGAGCTCTGCGGTCAGATGGTCAGATGCTGCTTCTAGACTGGGCTGGCTCTGGCAGGTTTCTTAACTGTTCTCAGCCTCAGTTCCCTCTTACAGCTGTGGTGTAGATCAAATTGGATCATACACTCCCAGGTGCCTGCTGCCTGCCAGGCACCATTCTGCCTGTGGTGGATGCTGTAGAGATGAGGCGGACTACGTAACTTCTGTTTCGGGGACGGAAGACAGCGTGAGCAGGCAGATGGACTGAAGACAATACAGTAGGGACAGTGCTGTGTGCTGTGAAGGTAGTGAGCAGGGCACTGAGAGTGCCCGAGGGGCAGTTAAGGAAGCTTCTTGAGGAGCAAGCCCCCCAGTGCGTGATGTGTATGCAGCACTCAGCGCAGCATCTACACCTGTGAGCACTTTATGAGACCACTGTCCCCTGCTTCCCCTTCAGGTCAGTAATTTCCCATTATAATTCTAGGAAAATAACTACATATTCTTTAAAAAATCAGGTGTTGTTCAGGCTCCCAGTCAAGGTTCTGTCATGTCCCAGAAACCTGGGGGAGACATGAGACTGTGAGGGCAAGTCCTTGGTGCTGGGCGTGCACAGAGCACATGTTTGTGGATGGTGACTGTCCCCGCTCACACATGCTCGTCCCTCCAGGTGTCCTCTTTGGGCTGGGTAGGTGCATATTCAGACTCACCATTTCTGGGCACCGTGGTGTAATGTGTGTGTTTGCTAATGAGGAGGTTTCTGTGAATGCTTTGGATTGAGTTTTTATAACTTTGCTGTCCTGACTTTTGGTGTGAAATGTCTCCTGTATTACTGACTGTAACGAGCATAGGGGAAAGGATTTAAGGTGCCCACAGCGCACTTGCTTTGTCAGACACTGTGGGGTATGTGAGCCTCCATGAGGCCTCTCAGGATGGTCCCCGGGGCTCCTTTAGCCTTGCCCAGCGCCTCCGGGAGCCCCATGGTGGGACTCTGCGGCACAGCCTCTCATGGCCAGCAGCTGTCCGTGTCCGGGAGTAGTTTCCCACTCCATCTAGGTGTAGCGCAGCGTCAGCAATGCAGGGTTGGGGGCGGGAGCAGAGCCTTTTCTTCCACCCCACAAGGAAGGCGTTTCTGGTGGAGCCGTCCACCTTGGCCTCCCTGTTAAAGTGAGGGTGCCCCAACCCCGGGGGGCACAGGGCAAGTGTGTCCCCTTTCACTGTGTGTGCCGGTGCAGTGGGACTTGGCGAGGGCCAGGAAGCGCTGTGTCGGCGTGTCATCCTGTCCTGGCTGCCCAGCTGTGCCCAGCGCTCTCGGATTGTCGTCAGTTGGTCTACAGGAATTAGCATTTCACTTTCTCAGATTTGCCGATGGGATATGTGCCACCTGTTCCTGTTAGGCCAGCTGTGTACCAGAGTGGCAGCTCCAGGAGAGAAATTCATTCCTCTGCAGTATCTACTCAACTTCCTTAGCACTAGTGGCCTCCCTGGGCCAAATGTGACCTGGCTGTATGACAGAATCAACCTGCCTGTACAAATTGCAGGGAAAAGGATGCTGTTATCACCTGACATGTGATTCCTCAGACACCGGCTTCCTCTGATGGGAGGGGTGAAGGCCCTAGAATAATGGCATATATTATGTAGTATTATAGTAATAATACAGTATTTTCTGTATCAACAGAGTTGAGAGTTCAGAATTTTGAAGATAACTAGGAAGTGCAGGATGTTTCTGAAGGTGTGTGAAGGAAGCCAGATCTTAAATGGGATCTGTGCTTATGATTAAAGTGAGATCAACAGGGCAAGTTTATGTTTTTGTGGATAGGGAAATTATTTATGAGGCCATGATAGGTGAAAGGTGGGTGAAGATTTAGTTTGTTGGAATCTTATTCAAGTCAGTAGCAATGCTGTATGAAACCATGAAGTACTAAATATTAGAATTGTGCACATTCCAAGTGACAAGTGACAGTCTATAAATTCCTGCAAGGCTGGTGAGGGTTGCCTAAACCCTCACCCCAGAACGACTCCATGGAAGAGAATGTGACATCTGGGCCAGAGCTCAGCTGTTAGCTAGCGGCTCGAGTCAGTCCACTCCTCCTGAACCTGGAGTTCCATAACCTTCCCGATCACCCCCAGGAGAGGTGTTGGTGGGGCCCAGAAAGGAACATGCCTTCTGGAGTGAGTGTCGGTCAGCGTCACTGAGCTGTCTCTCTGTCCAGAGAGTCTAGGGTACCCGGGAGAACTCAGACTGATTTTAAGGGCTGGTGGCCCATTGTGCGGTTTGGTTACCTTTCCAGCGACTGAGTCTTGGCTGGGCATGGGGCAGGATATTGTGGTCGTTAAGTACTTGGACCCCGGAGGCAGACTGCTGGGGTGCATCCAGCGCTGTCACCTTCTCCTGGGTGACTTGTGCAAGTGGCATAACGTCCTCTCATTCTTCTGGGGAGGACTTAGTGCATGGCAGGCACTGAGAACAGTGGTGCACATGTTGCTATCACAGCAGCTTGTCACCTGACTGAGCAGGAACAGCAGCTACATCCGTTCTCCTGGGCCTTCAGAGCCTATGAGCTGTAGCTGAAAAGGGACTTGGTGGCAGTGCCCAGGGTATTACTTCTCATGCAGCCTGTTGCTAGGGACTGATTTTCAGGGGCCTGGCCCCTGGTCTCTCTAGGAGCTTCTCCCCCCCTCAGCCTTCAAATCTCACATCCATGTGAGAGCAAGAGCCCAGCCACATCACCTGCGGGCCGTGGGGGTGGTTAACTGCCCTGGAAAACAGCCTGGGGTCTT